CACAGCGCCACTTCCGGCTTTTTTTTTCTTTTTGCTTATGTGGTGCTGAGGAATCGAACCCAGGGCCTCAGGCATGCAAGGCAAGCGCTCTACCACTGAGACACCTTCCCAGCTCCGGAAAAAAAGGTGTCATTGTAATTAATTAATTATGTGTTAGCAATGGGGCTTAAACTCAAGACCAGGGCACTGTCCCTTAGCTTTTTTGCTTCAAGGTTGTGTTGAACCACATGAGTCATAGCTCCACTTTCAAAATTTTGGTAGTTAATTGGAGATAAGGGTGTTAATTGGAGATAAGGATGTTTCTGACTATGATCCTCAGATCTCAGCCTTCAGAATAGCTAGGATTACAGGTGTAAGCCATCAATACCCAGCTCCAGTATGGGCTGTCTTTCTTTCTCCCTTCCTTCCTTCCTTCCTTTTTTCCTTCTTTCCTTCCTTCCTTCCCTTCGTTCCTTCCTTCCTTCCTTCCTTTTCCTTTGTTTTTTCTTCCATCCTTTCTCTCTCTCCTTTTCTTCCTTTCCTTCCTTCCCTTTTCTTTTTCTTTCTCTTCCTCCTTTCTTTCTTTCCTTCCTTTCCTTTTTTCTTTCCTCTTTTTCCTCTTCCCTCTCCCTCCCTCCTTTTCTTCCTCCCTTCGTCCCTTTCTTTTCCTTTCTTTCCTTTCTTACCAATCCTGGGGTGTTAATTCAGGATAGTCATAGTCATTAACTATGGCTACTCTTATTTCTTCTATACCTCCACCCACTTTGTATCCCCAAAGCTGGATTGTTTTGAAGAATATACCAGATATACAATTACATTTGTATATTATTTTTCACATTGTACAGCTAAAAGATGAGAAGTCTAAGGATTGAGGGTGTGCCTCAGTGATAGAACACTTGCCTAGCATGTATGGGGCTCTGGGTTTGTTACCTAGCACTATAAGGAAGAAAAAAATAGAATCTTTTTCCCCTTCTTATATTGTGCTTATCATTTCCAGAATTTCCATTTGACTTCTTTATATTATAATTTCTATTTTGCTTTAAAATTTCCCAGCTGTTCAGTCATTATGTCCTTCTTTTCCTTTAAGTACTTGAACAGCTGTTTTAAAGTCCTTGTCCATTAATTCTGTAATCTGGATTATTTTGGGTTCTGCTTCTGTTTGACTGCTTTATTTTTTTATTTTTTGGTTGTGGGGCTTGAACTCTGGGTCTGGGTGCTGTCCTTCAGCTCTTCAGCTCAAGGCAAGTGCTCTGCCACTTGAGCTACAGCACCACTTCTGGTTTTCTAGTGGTTTATTGGAGATAAGAGTCTCACAGACTTTCCTGCCTGGGCTGGCTTTGAACTGTGATCCTCAGATCTCAGCCTCCTGAGTAGCTAGGATTACAAGAACGAGTCAGGGGTGCCCGGCTTTTTTTTTAATGATGGTTTACAATGTGATTGTAGGTTATAAAAATTTTCTGCTTCTTCACATGTAATATTTAATTATACATGTGACACAGTGAATAATATGGTGATTATGTTGTTTTTCTTTAAGATACATTGACTATTGTTAAATTACTGGTGATATTTGATTCTGTCAGGCTTGGCTTTATTCTTTGGTAGAGCAGATCTGTTTATGTTTGGTCTTTAATCCTGGTGATGCCTTATTCTATGTAGAAGTCAGCAGTTTTCTGTAAAGGACCAGACAGCAAATATCTTTGGCTTTGTAAATTGCGCAGTCTCTGTTACAACTCTGCCAAAGTAGTGCAAAAGCAGCCTAGATACAACATAAATGAGCATAGCCATGTTCTAATAAAGCTTTATTTACAAAAGCAAATTGGTATTCAGACCTTGTTTTGAAGTGTAACCTGGATATATGATTTCAGTTTTCCCACTCTTGCTGTAAGGACATGATTTGTACTCTTCAGGTGTGGTCTTTCTAAAATCTAAGTTGAATACCTGAAGTATTCTGTGAGGTGTCCCAGTGTCTTGACTGAGCTGGGACTGGGATTCCCACTTCTTCCAGCACTGCAGCCTCTGGAATGTTTGTTCAGCTCTCAGAGTGCTGCACCTTAGTCTGACAGACCTTGTATGTCTTCCCACACTTTGATGCTGCTTTCCCAGTATCTTTACCCACAAAGCCCAATTGCCAGACTTTTTTTTTTGTTAATCTTGGGGCTTGAACTCAGGGCATGGGCACCCTGAGCTCTTTCTGCTCAAGACTAGCACATTACTCCTTTGAGCCACAGCACCACTTCCTGTTTGCTGGTGGTTAATTGGAGATGACTCATGGACTTTCCTGTCCAGGCTGGCTTTGAACCATGATCCTCAGATCTCTGCCTCCTGACTAGGATTGCAGGTGTGAGCTGCCAACACCAGGCTCCAACTGCCAGACTTTTTAACTGTTTAAC